TAGCTGAAAAATTGAATCGTAAATGCAAATTTTGGAATAATGGTCTTCACTGGTNTAATGGTCATGGTGTAGGATCACTGGTAGAGATTGTGGATGAGAGCCAGTGTGTACTAGTAATGATGTCCTGTGAGAATGGTTACAGTGATAATATGGTGTCTCTAAGAAGAGATGTGATAGGAGAGGTAATGAGTGCTTATAAAGAATCCTGTCCTAGCCTAGAGGTAAACGAGTTAGTTATTGATCCTAAAGAACTAACCTATCCTGTGAATACACCAAGAAGAAGGACAGTTTATGATGTTTATGATTTACTATCAGCAACTAAGGAAGGAAGATCATTTCTTGTGAGTGATAAAGGACAAACAGAATTGAAGGAGGTCCTACCTGATGAATCATTATCAGATATTAGTAACCTGTCACTATTAGGAGGACGAGATATTAAGGTAAGAATTAACACAGACAAACTGTTTGATACATTAATCCACGTGCTCGATGATAAATAAGCACAAAGACAAAATTATCAATATTGTTATTGTTATTGCAGGAAGTGATAGAAATAACTGAAGAATTTAAGATATCATTGACTCCAATAAAGCTTATAGGTAAGTTATAGTTATAGTTAGTGTCATATAGTGACAATTATTGTCAAGTAGTTGGAGTGTAGACTGTATACACATTATTAATCATTATTTTATAGATATTAAAGATCTTGATATTGTCGTTAAAGAATTAACATCAGATCAACACTTGCCTTGTTCTGTATGGCATGCATTAGGTCTACAGTTAGGATTATATGATGACAGACTAAAGGATATAAAAGCAGACTATCATGGACAATCAGTGGAGTGTTTCCGGGAGTGTATGTCTGCCTGGTTAAGAGGAGAAGATAAAGTGAGAGAGAAAGGAGGTCCCAGTTGGTCATCATTAGCTACAGCACTGGATACAATAGAAGAAAAATCTATTGCTAGTTACATTAAAGCCAAATATTGTACTTAAGTTACTCATTGATAGCTGAGCTATTTTGTAATTTTGCTATTTTATGTGTGATGCAGGGTTATACATTACTCAGTGTTATAAAGTATTTATTATTATTATGTTAATTATAATAGGTTGCCTTTTCACTTTGTGCAAGTTTTTTCTGTTACCATTATTCCTTTCCGTCTGCTTCTCTTCACTCTAAGCACTATTATGAGCATCTGCCACGAAGCAATGGAATTGTATCTTGTCTCAAACTCTACTTACAGTAAAATTATTTCTAACCTCCACTTAAATTTAAAGTGTACTATGGTATAACAATTGGATATATTATATATTTTGCTGATATACTGAGCACTTGTTATTTCACACCCTCTTTGCTACTCCAGTCAGTGTTGAACTCCTTGGTAAATCTTAATTTGAACTTTTAATACTGAAAAATGATAAAGTCATGAACTATAAAAATTATTTCCTTCCCTCCTCAGTCTCTCTACTCTAAGTTGGTCCAAACACATTATAACCTCTTGCAAGAGTATCTTGTGGTAATATCCTCAACTTGATGATGTCACTGATAAGAACAGACCCCACCATATCAGGAAAAGAGGATTGAATGGAGTCTGAAGTGATCATGTGACTGGAGGATGAGGTCTGACCCTCTCCTCTCTTTATTAGTTTGGTTATTAGTGACATGTATTGAGACTCTGAGGGAATGTCCAGTGAATGATGACGAATGACACTTAGTTCTATCATTAGAGCATCTAAGATAAGAGGGAGAGAGAGAAAGAGAGAGAGAGTAGAGTTACGTTTAAGTTACACACCGTATAGCTTGAACTTTTGATGGATTAAACTTTTGCAAATCCCACCAAGTACCGTATAACGCTTTATTTTGGCGATTTTGCTGTAAAATTGTATTTGGCGGTTTTTAATTTGGTGATTTTTATGTACACATGCATTACTGAGCATGCGCATTAATGATTGGCAGTTTTAATATTGGCGATTCTGCTTGCAAACTGCAAATCGCCAAAATAAAAATCCACCAATTTAAAGCGTTATATTTGCAAATTAAAGCATTGGAGCAATTGGCACTGTATTATCTAGATTTTTTGTGAATTATAATTTCGCGACTCTCAGCAAAAATTCCATTAAACAAGCAAAAATCAATTAAGTCCTTCAATATACAGCAATAATAAAATAGTATTTTCACAGAAAATAAACTGTCCAATAACATAAACATGACAATGACTAAATCCTGGTTTACACTCACGACAGACGCAATGCAAAATGGTTAAAATTTAAACAATTTTGTGTCAACTTTAAACAGTTTTGCATTGAAAGGTCAGATCTCCCAAGCATTTTTGACCATTTTGTCGAATGTACATGTAATCCCAGATTAACTATAATACTGTACATTAACCAATATTGGATGTACAGTACTGGTT